TGCAACACTGGAGACACTCATTCTATGCCAAAAAATTTGGAAAACAGCTACCTGGCCAACTGATTGGAAAAGATCCATATTTGTGTGTGCTCTTTCCAAAGACGTGATCCAATGCAATGCAGAAATCAGCAGACATTATCATTAATAACACATGCAAGTATAATTTTCTTAAGGATAATTCAAAACTGCTGCAATAGCACATTGACAGGGAATTGCTAGAGGTTCAAGCTTGATTCATATGAAGATGTGGAATGAAGGATATCATTGCTGACATCATACGTAACTTGGCTGAAAGCAGAGAATATCAGAAAGATGTTTACCTGTGCTTTATTGACTATACAAATACTCATGACTGTCTGGATCATGACAAGCAATGGATAACATTTTGAAGAATGGGTATTGCAGAATACTTTGTTTTTATCATGAGAAACATGTAGATAGACCAAGACATAGTCGTTCTAACAGAACAAGGGGGAACTGAATTGTTTAAAATCAGGTAAAGTGTGTGCCATGTGTATTCAGTCTGTATACTGAGCAAATAATCCGAGAAACAAAAATAAACCAAATATGTGGTATCAGAATTCAAGGAAGATTAATTAATAGCCTGTGACATGCAGATGATACAACCTTGCTTGCTGAAAGCAAAAAGGACACAATACATACTGATGAAGGATCAAAGACCACAGCCTTCAATATGGGTTGCACTTCAATATAAAGAAAACAAAAATCTTCACCACTGGACCAACAAATGATGTGATAAATGGAAAACTAGTTAAAGTTTTCAGACTTTACTTTGTTTGAATCCACTAACAATACTCATGGAAGCAGTAATCAAGAAATCAAATGACATATTGAAGTAGGCACATCTGCTGCACAAGATCTCTTTAAAGTTTTCAAGAGCAAAGATGTCAGTTTGAGAACTATGATATATGTCTGACTCAAGCCATGGTGTTTTCAATAGCCTCATAGGCATGTGAACATTGGACAATTAATAAGGAAGACAGTAAATGAATTGATGCATTGGAGCTAGGTGTTGGACTCAAGAGTAACAAAGATTGATAAGACAGGTTAGGACTGACCCATGTTTTGCTCTGTGTGCATAGGATCACCGATTATGAACCAACCTGACAACACCTAACAACAATAGCAATCCTTTTTATTTGCTCCAACTGTAGCATTCTACTCACCAGGAATTATTGATGCTTCTTGGTTGCAAGTTTGATCAAGTTCAGACTGAAATAGTTGGTAGAATTCTTCAGTTTCATTACCACTACCTCTTATGGTTGGATGAATAAATTTGAATAATTGTTGTACTAACTGGTTTTCATTGTTGGCATATGGATATTATCCTATCACAGCCAACATTGTACTTCAAAAGAGATTTTGAAATATTCTTTTTGACAATGGATGTTATGCCATTCCTCTTCAATTTTTCATTCAGGTATAGTACACCATATGATTATCTAATTCAAAATGGTTAATGCCAGACCGTTTAAGTTCAGTAATGCCTAGGATATCGATCTTTATGTATTCTGTTTTTTTTTTTTTTTTTTACAACTTCCAGATTTCCTAGATTTATATTTCATATATTTAATGTTCCAATTATTAATTGATGTTTGCAGCTATGTCTTCTCT